TAAGCCAAAAGTTCACATTGCCCTGCAGTGAAATTATATTTTTAAAAATGGTATACCTATTGTATATCAAGAAGTGGAATTAAATCGCAAAATGTCATATCGAGTTTGACACTTGCTGTTACCTGTAATTATTATACCATGTTTTTTTCGAACAATTTGATGTGACCATGGCACAGTGGTCGCTGCCATTGGCCAAAATTAAAAAAATGAAAATTAGATATTTATTGTCAAATGTGTACAAATTAACTCTTAAAGGGTTAAGCTTTTTAGAAGCATAATAATCTTGGCTTCATTTTAATGGCCCACTTCAAAAATAGCATCAAAAAAGAGAAAATGTAGTTAGTTGCTTTTTTTTTTCAGTGGGATCAGAGAAAAAGTGAAGTAAAAACAGAACTGTATTACAAAATTAAATACATTTTAAAATGACAAATCTTGGCATTATTATTGAAAAGCAAGGTATTGACTTATTTTTAGTTTAGTAATTTGTGTGATTAGTATATGTGTATGATATAGAAGATGTGAGTGTTCTGAGTTGCCTTTAAGATTAATTTTGAAAATAAAATTACATTTCAGTTAAAGTTTTAATTATTTTCCCCCCTGAATCCTCCAATGTGATTTTTTTCACGCCATTAGTAATGGCCCTAAGATTCTAAAAGTGCTAATTTAACTTTCAGATTTTGTCAGATGTGTACGTTATGCCCAATATACTGAAGTGACTTCGCTGCAATTTTGTCAGTTAGATGGTGATAGTGACATAGAATATACATCCATGGCACTATCTTTCACCTACAGTTCATAAAATTTTAATACATACATTATATCGATTAGATAATTTTAGGAGGAGGCCGTGGAGTCTAGAAACAAAGATATAAAAAGTTTCGACTAAATCATACCCGAAAAAATCTCGTGTTTCAACAAACACAGACCTTATTAACCGTCTTCTTCTGAGCTCTGACCCTTTTATAACGGGACAGCGAACGTTACCAAACAATAACCAGTAAAGAAAGTCTTAAAGTCGGGCGGGGCCGACTTCATGATACCCTACACCATTTTGCATATTTAGTAGAGCATCACATAACAAATAAAGGTTTTTATGGGGAATTTGTGAGAATTAAATCATACCAACTATGATTATAGTAATAATTAAATGTCCAAAGGAACTAATATATGGAAGGAATATCCTCCTCTGAATGGATTTCTACTAAATTTGTCGAGGCATTTGAGCCTTTTCAATTCGGGTTTGTATTATCCATTTGGTGCACAATCAACTTGAAATTAGATATATATATATATATATATATATATATATATATATATATATATATATATATATATATATATATATATATATATATATTTGATTTGGGCTAATATTACACGTTTGGTGCACAATAAAAGGCAAATCGGACGAAGATATATATTTGAGCCATATCCAAATATTAACAGATCTCGATAAAATTTAGAAAGGGTATTTCTGAGTTATATTTGATATATTTCCCCAAATATTGTTGTTACAGAGTGCATATTACGGCTGCGGAGGACAAAAATAACAAATCGGATGAACAATATATATTTCGATCAAATTTGGCATACTTATTTTCAGGTCCAAAAATCATACTATTGGGCTGATATTACAAGTTTAGTGCGCAATATAAGGCAAATTGGATGAATATATATGGGAGCTATACCTAAATTTTGACCGATTATCTCCATTTTCAATAGGGCCTTAAGTCAAACAAATTATTTGTGCAAAATGTAACTTTGATTTAATTTTACATTAAATTGTTATTTTATTTTGTTTACAAAAAATAATCACATTTGGACTTGATTTGTATAAAAAATGCTTCTATTTTTGGAGGTACCTTTACAGGGGACTCTACCTGAAGGCGGGCTGTTCCAAATAATTTTCAGTAAGATTATTTTTTAACTCCATAGAACGTAAAATGTCAAATAATATTACAATCTAGTGTAAAAATGTGACAAGAATTGGTCAAATAACTCTTATTCGGGAGGTACGTCGTAAGGGGACAATGCCAAAACATGCATCGACTATATCCATTTTGTCACATTTTTTATTTTTAACCCATCAAGGTACCATAACCAAAGATTCATATTGATATCTGCACTGAAAGTATTTTTGGCCGCTGTTCCCATACGACCTCGACCACTGTGCATGGTAGAAGAACACACGTGAACTGTCAACCGATTTTGGAATTGATAATGTTGAATGATCAACATTATCAAGTTTTTCCAGTGATAGGTATTTTTACCCCGGGAAACTATCTTTTTCTTGGAGACGGACCCGGGACCCCAGATTTTTGACCACAAAGTCCGGGTTCAAGACCCCGACTAGACCCGGATCCACTTATAGGTAAGAAAAGGAAAGCTTATGAAAATAGCTATCCAACAAGTGGTCACATGTTGGAGTAAGTGGCCACGGTTCGGAAGTTATAGTCAAATTATCAATTTTTTGGACCCAGATTTTTTATAAAACCCTCAGAAAGTCAAACGACACCTATATTGTATATATCGGTTAAGTGGATCCGGGTCTAGTCGGTATCTTGAACCCGGAGTTTGGGGTCAAAAATCTGGTGTTCTTAATCCGTCCCCCAAGAAATAAATAGTTTCCCGGAATCAGGGTAAAAATACCTACCTCCGGAAAAAATTTCGAAAACATCGAAGAGTTCTTACTAAACTAAAGTTGCTCCTTTTATTTTTAAATAATAACAAAGTGCAGGGCATTTATTGCCCGATCCACATCAAATTTTGCACAAGTCATATGTTTGACCCAAAGACGAACCCTATTGAAATTGGAGATACTCGGTCAAAATTTAGATATAGCTGCCATATATATCTTCGTCCGATTTGCCTTTTAATGTGCACCAAACGTGTATCTCCATCCCAAATAGCATGGAATTTGGCACATACGGAATTTGGCACATACACATACATATAGCTTCCATATATATTGTTCATTCGATTTGATATGATTGTCCTCCGCAGTTTGGGGAAATATATCAAATACAGCACATAAATGTCTTTTCCAAATTTGGATATAGCTCTCATGTATATCTCCGTCCAATTTGCCTTTTATTGTGCGCCAAACGTGTAATATTAACCCAAATGGGATGGAATTTGGCATTTACGACTAAATTCTGCTTAGAAACAAGTATGTCAAACTTGGGGAAATTTGTTCAGATGTAGCTATAGCTCCCATATATATTAATCATCCAATTTGTTATATATATTTTCTACTAAATATACAAAGTGGTATAAGGCATCATAAAGTCTGCCCGCACGACTTTTAGTCTTTCTTAACTAGTTTTGTTTCGATTTTGTGAAAGTCCTCCTCTTTCGACTCATTTTGGGTCCTTTTCAAGTAATATGTACTTAGTAAACTCTTTTTACTCATTATCAAAACCATGGCAAGATAAATTACAGAAAATGGTTCTTTCAAATAACTTTAAAATCTTTATTTTACTATGAACAAAACATTATAAAAAGCATGGTACAATGAAGAGAAGGTAGGTCAACTTTGAAAAAATTGCAAGTATAGAAGTCTACCTGTTTGGCTTGTAATGTCAGAATTACTATCAAACCAATAAAAAAGCAAACAACTTGTTGCATTGTTTTTGAATAAATAATTTAAAACCGCGAAAACTGAATGAATGGTCAAAATTTCTTTTCAATATCATGTTCTATATATCCCTTATGGTTTAATTCGCGACAAAAACTGTAGATTTTGTCTATGCATTCGTTGCAATAAGCATTTTGAAAACACCCGAATTTGAATATTTTCGGAACAATTTTTTATTATTGAAAAGAAGACACATACATAAGCAAATGAAGTTGACATATTAAGCCAGAAAAATAAAAAAATTTAAATCATATGGTAGTTCTGCCCTACCTTGAATTCATTGTACCATGATAAAAAGGTAATAATATAGTAATTAAAATACGGTTCCAAGAATATTTCGTACAAATTAATATTATTAAATTAATGTTATTGTTTGTAATTTACAAAATGTCATAAAAATAAATTGAACAGTGGTGGCATGTTTGTTAGGGATACCGTAATATTTTGTTGTTGCAAATTAGTATTGCAAAAAACTTTACTGTTGCAAAAAACAAAAGTTGAACTCATAATAGAAGAATATAGATGTTATGCTTCTTTGCTTACGAAAATTGATATGTAAAAAGAATTTAAAATTTTCTGAAAAAATAAAGGGATTGTCAAATGTTTTCTTTCACGATGCCGTTCAGAGGTTGGTATGATATGTGATTTTCAAATTGAATAGTTTTTCATTCAAAATTTTAGGTGAGAATACATAAAACGCATTTTTGACTGGCTTAAGTCATAGGTTGGCTATGTAAATGAACAAAGGAGTTTTAGGCTGTCTTAGTTCAATTTTGGCCCATAATTTATACTTCTTCACTCTACTCTCCTTTGTTATTTCTTTTCATAGAACCAATTAAAAAGCATTTTATGTATTTTCACCATTTCACAATAAATCTAATAAATCTTTGGGTGAAAAATAATAATTTCTTCTATTCATATTAGTGAGAATTTCATATATTTTCGTATAAATTCCCCTTAAGACCAACAAACAAAAAATTTTTGAAAAAGGAATTAGTATGCAACAACGTGATTGAAGGTGCAATGAGAACATGGCATAACTGCAAAATTATTAACAGTCGACTATGAATAGTCGAGTACTCGGTTTTTACCCAAGTCCATAGTCGAGTTTGATAGCATTTGGAAAAACGATAGTAGCAGCTAGTTCCGCGCTCTTTAGTGAAGATGTTCAATTTTCTCATGTCTCATTCGTAAACAACAGAGTACCCCGAGTCTTTGCTTTCTGTTTATTTTTTATCAAGTATTGCTTTTTGGCCTTTATATTCGCTTCGTTGGGACGTTTTTCATTTTTGTTTCCCACGCTCGCACTTTTCGAAACTAGTCTACTGTCTACTGCCATACTGCCATCGATTGGTTCGATTGGTTGTCATTTCTAGTTTGTCGTCGGAGTGTCAAAAAGGTCGGTGGTCGTTCTGAATCTGAAAATTGAAAGTTTGTAAATTATCGGTAAAATATTGTGATTCATTGGGTAAAGGTGTTAAAGTGTTCAAAAACGACCTGTAGGCTACATAAAATCTGAGTGTACGTACCTTCTTTTATGATAACGTTAAATAAACATCTATTATCTATACTTTATATTTTTAGTTAGCCCGATTTCTGATTTCAAAATATACGTCCTTGTAACAATTTCCTAATATTATTTTTTTCTGTTTACATATGTAACATGTGTGCACATAAAATCATATGTGTATGTATGTATATATGTATATGTTCTTTCTGCTTTCGTTGCTTTGCACAGTATTTGCGGGACTAGATATATCTTTGTGCATAAAGTTGTGCAAGCAGTTTCAATTTTTTTTTGTTAATTTTCAAATTAAAAAATCAGATTTAAAGATCTATAGGAAATATTTATCAGATGTTGTTTTAAAAGTTATAAATTGATTGTTCCATTGGTTTTATAATACATTCATTAATTTGTAAAATATTTTACTTTTCCAGATTTTACATGGGTATTTTCTTTGTTTAAGGAACAAAGAACGACTCTTCATTACTGTTGCCATTACTCACGTTTCAAATAAAGAAGTTGAAATTTCCGCTTTTGGTAAATCAACATTTGGTAATAATTGCATTTAGTGAGGAAGTAATTACTTGTTGACTGGAAGACGCGAATTAAAACAAACGACGCAAAACAAAAGATGCCAGCTGATTCAATTTCAAGGTAATGACAAAGAGTGAAAGGGGTTTTTGTAAACTCATGTACAAGTTAACTTCACCACCTCTTCGCAAGCTCCCTGTATCGCATATGCATGTACATATTTTTTGTTTGAAGAGGAGTATATTTTCAAATCAATAAAGCATGTAGGTATTATATGCATATGTGTGTGCATTTTCATTGTTTGAAAGACGCAAAGCCGCGACGGTTGTGTTAATAAAGAAAAAGTTGAACGCAGTTATACTACGTAATTTGAATATCACTCTATTTGTTTTTTTCAGAATGGATTCTAATGGCTCTAATGACAATGAAAAAAATATTCCACCACAAAACATTTTGGGTACATCGCCAGGAACATCAAGTTTACGCTCCCGCACGGACAGCGAATGCTCTGACAAGTAAGTACTTATTTTATTTCACGTTGTCCACCAATATTTTGCATTTTTTTCGTGGTGTAGACTAGCCAGATTCGTATTGCCCAGCATGGATGGCAGCCCACCAAAGGTGATGACGCTTGATGAAGTAACTAATGTAGTTAAAAACATACAAAATATGGAACTTGCCCATGAAATTGCATTAAATCCTGAGTTTAAATTGCAACCCTATGAACCACCTGAAAACAGGTTTGCTAAATTATCAATCATCAGTTACAATGAATCTATATGAGTTATTCCCATGTTTTATAGCCTTGAAAAACGTATAAAGGATTGCATGCACAAAGCGTTCTGGGACTTACTAAGGGAGCAGCTGAACTCTGACCCTCCTTCCTATGATTACGCTATACAATTGTTAAGTGAAATTAAGGAATGTTTTCCCCAGATTCTAACCCAAAATAATAAACTCATTCTGGATCAAATCAACGATATCTTAGACGAGTCGGTTATTCGCCAACAAGCTGAAAAAGGAGTTCTCGACTTTCAATCTTATGCAAATTTTATTATTAAAATTATGGGAAAATCGTGTGCACCAGCTAGAGATGACGACATTAAGAAACTCACACAAATCGAAGATGTTGTTGACATGTTCAAAGGTATTTTGGATACAATGGCTCTTATGAAATTGGACATGGCGAATTTCTTATTAGATTTTTCTCGTAACGCCATCATGGCAAACTCAGTCGAGTATGAGAAACAGAAATTTAATGAATATTTGGAATATTATAAATGTATGTATACAATTTATATTTTTTGGGAAATTTCTATAATCAATGAAAAATTAAATTTGGCTCATTTTAGTTGGTTTTCCCGCAACAGAAAATTGGCTTCAACGTAATCTCACCCAAACATCAAATGGCACGCTAATTACTGCAGATCAGGCTATGTCGAATGCTTATATGGAACTCATGGATTGGAAGGAAGATGTTGATTTCCCTGAAATTCTTTCCACAGACAAGGAGCGTATTCTCAAATTGGGCCAAAGAGCTAAGCGTTTGTGTGTCGGAGCATCTCTAATAGCCATTTGTTCCGCAGTACCTGTTATATCGCAACGTTCTGAAAATCGAATTGAGTTAGCAAAACAAATTGAAATACTGCTACACAGTATAACGAACGAAAAGTAAGGAACTATGCAAGAATATTTTTTATGGAAATAATGCTATTCTCATTGCAGAGAGATATCAGAGGCTATAGATAATATTTGGGAACAAATAAAAACTGTAATCAATAAGTATTTGAAAAAGGAAAGTCAATCAACAATGGACACAGATGCACTGGACATGCTCCAAACGCAAATAAAGCAAATTGCTAATAGGGATGCTCCAGTTAGGCAACTTATGTGTAAGTAAATAAACCGACTCTTTAGAGCATTCGCATACCTAAAATGTTAATTTTTTAGGGAAACGATTGCAGACATATTTTCGACTAGCACTCCGTTCAAAAGGGGGGCTACCGCCTCCACCACCAGGATACGTTGATTTCAAAGATGAATTAGAATTCTACACCACTGCCCTTAAACGTGTGATAGCCTATAATCATTCTGTATTTGGAGAATATTTTTTGCAGATACTCACCCAACGTCAAACTGAACCAAATAACGAGACCGTTTGTGCAAGTGAAGGTGCCTCCTCCGAAGCTGAAATGTTACCCTCGCAGCAATGAATTTCTATATCGGTGTAGTAATTAATTAAGGAATTCACCCAGCAAACCAGACCCGCAGTTAAGGAAAGCCCATATACAAAACTGTGTTGTATTAGCATTGGCTAACATGAATGGAAATTTATGTAAGAGTATTACCGTATAAGTGATTGGAATATGAAGCACATGTGTAATTCTCAGAAAACTATTGTAAAGAACTTTCTAGACAAAATGTATCCAACTAAAGCACCTTTGTCGTCATTGCAGTACTGTTCAATTTTCAGTGAAAAACTTTTCTTGATGGTGCGAGTTTATGAACTTTCTAACTTTACCAAGGTGCGAAACTTATTAAGCATCATTATTATTACATAAATAAAAATTACCGATGAATATATGATTACTAAACCTTAAAACTAAGCTTAACATCATAACATATGGTGCTTACAAACAATAAACAAATTGAACAAATTATACTGGAAAAAGCTTCTTGATTGTATACAAGGACAAAAGGTGGAAGTCTATGTCATTCACAATTTAACGAGTTCAAAAAAATCATGAAACATTCCTTCTCTTCCTTAACATTCATACTAAAGGGCTGCAAATGTGACAATTTTCTCTATTTATGCCATGGAGAGAAAATGCTCGTCATGTTGTGCCCTGTTTGATCAAACGCATAACAGTACGTGACATCCAACCAATGGTTGGATGTCTCGTCATGTCGGTCACACTCAAACCCATCGTCATAACATGTAATGACCAATAAAAGGGAATGTTGAATAGTGTGTCATACAAAAATGTTCTATCAAAAAAACAACAACAATTATGAAACAATTGCCAATGAAAAAGCCAAACACGTGATGAAGGCAAAGCGCAATCGCTACCTGCTTTTCCGATATGTGAAAAATAAATTTTTTGTAATAAAGAATTTCTTGGCGAATGCTTAAATATTAAAGGCACTTCCACACAAAACTTTCACATTTTGTGGTTATTGACGAAACAATCTAAAATGTTAATTCTTGTTACAAAACAAAAATGCCTTGAAAAATTTTATTTTGATTATAATTTCATAAATGTTTGCCTACATTATTGAGGTGTAAATAAGAATGAGTGCTACTGTAGTTCACGTAACAACACTATATACTTCCATTGTTCAATTCTGTGCATATTCTGTTATTGAATGAGAGTCAAATCTCTGCCCACAAACTTTAATTTTAAAAGAACACTATATGTAGATAGAAAATAGGCAAACAATATTAACCTCTTTTTTATGACCAAAATTTTATGATAATCACCAATAAATTGGGATTGTTCAGTATATATTTCATTTTTTTCTATTCATTTGTTGATGTCTATGCACATTTTGTTATTGAACTCAATTTTCTATTTACGCGGTGTTTGTTACTTCAAAATTACAGCACACACAAAAACACATTCACACTAAAGGGCTGCAAGTGTGACATATTTCTCTATTTATGCCACGTCATGTTGTGCCCTGTTTGATCAAACGCACAACAGTACGTGACAGCCAACCAAATGCTCGATGTCTCGTCATGTCGGTCAGACTCAAACCCATCGTCATAACATGTAATGACTAATAAAAGGGAATGTTGAATAGTGTGTCATACAAAAATGTTCTACCGCAAAAATTACAACAATAATGAAACAATTGCCAACGAAAAAGACACACACGTAATGAAGGCAAAGCGCAATCGCTACCTGTTTTTCCGATATGTGAAAAAAATACATTTTTTATAATAAAGTATTTCTTGGCAATAATAATAACATATTTCAGGTACTTATAATTGGTCTACACAAAATTTTTACATTTCGGTTATAGACGAAACAACCCAAAATGTCAATCCTTATTAAAAAAAAACTGATAAATTTTCTTAATATCTCATAAATAATATTTTTTAATTGTTGATTTCGTACTCACTTTTATGTATGCCGTGTTTGTTACTTCAAAAAAATTACAGCACACACAAAAACACACCCTCACCGTCGAAAGTAAGACACACACACTCTCTCAATATGTAAGCACACGTACACAAATGACACTCAATTTGACGATGACACGGTTCGATGTCATCGTTGACACCCTGCATTTATGGAGAACACCATGCAAATATTCGAGTCAGCCATGCCACGATCGAACCTTAGACAATGGCACACATGAATCAAAATGGGGGATGTTGTTGGTTGTCATTATTGCCTATCAAATACATAGCGCATGATTGAGTAGACAAAGTCAGTGTGTCGGAAAAAGCATAATTCATACAATTCGTCTTGTGCAGACCTTTAATTCATACCCATGATAGATCATTTCAAGGTAATGCAGGTTGATTAAATTAACTTCAAATTTACTATTAACAAATGCAATAAATTGTTCTGTTTATTTGACGCTTTTCTTGCAATATTCACCTTTATTCTACTCCTCGAAGCCGTCGTCACTTTTAGGATAGCATCACTTGTTGTCGACGGCGAACTAATATGGAGGATATAGCATTTTCAGATTAAATGAAACCTTTTGCAATTCAAATGAAACTTTTTGCTGCGGAAATGAAACCTTTTGCAGTGGAAATGAAACCTTTTGCAGTGGAAATGAAACCTTTTGCAGCGGAAATGAAACCTTTTGCAACCGAAATGAAACCATTTGCTACCGAAATGAAACTTTTTGCAAATCAAATGAAACTTTTAAATTTATAGAAGGAAAAATAACAAAACATTTTTATTTTTAGTAGTTTTCAAATTAAATCAATTAATTATAACTAATATATTGACAAAGAGGATTTTTTATTGATTATAAATATCTATATTTATTTTATTATTTCTTAAATTTTTAATAATTGTAATAACAAATGGTTCTTTATTAATTTGATATAAAATGCTTCCATATTATTAAATTCCAAATGCTTAACGCTAGAAAGAGAAATTTAAACAAATTTTGGCCTTTATAGGTATGGCCAGGACTGAAATGTGAAATTAAGCTTTACCACAATTTTTTATAGTTATAGTATCTTATTAATCTTATCTAATAAAGGATTCCCGCTTCGCAGCTTTGTTGATTATGGAGATAGAGCAGTCGTGATTTCAATAGACAGATAAGTGGAAATCATTAAATCAACTATGATCATGATTGTATATACTTTATGGGGTCTACGACGAATATTTAGAGGTGTTACAAACCGAATGACAAATTTAATATATTCTCCTTTCCATGGAGGAGATTATAAAAAGTACCTAATTCGGGTCCTTTGAAAAAAAAAATACCTTGAAAAACTTTTTTCAATCTTTCTGAATCTACACTTGTGTTTTATGGAAGCTTTAAGAAAAAAATTTATAAAAACATAGATATTAATAATCAATAAAAATTCCTCTTTAACTATATATTAGCTATAATTAGTTGATTTAATTTTAAACCTACTAAAAATAAAAATGTTTTGTTATTTTTCCTTCTATAAATTTAAAAGTTTCATTTGATTTGCAAAAAGTTTCTTTTCGGTTGCAAATGGTTTCATTTCGGTTGCAAAAGGTTTCATTTCAGCTGCAAAAGGTTTCATTTCCACTGCAAAAGGTTTCATTTCCACTGCAAAAGGTTTCAATTCCACTGCAAAAGGTTTCATTCCCGCTGCAAAAAGTTTCATTTGAATTGCAAAAGGTTTCATTTAATCTGAAAATGCTATATATTAAATTAGCATTTTAGTCCTCACAAAGTGCATGTTCTTGGTTAGCATAGGATTCTATGTCGGTTTAGTCATGTCGGCCCGTTGGTGAAAATCATTATAGTTTCTGAACGATATGAAGTGGTTTAAATTTTGTTGAGATGCATTTTAGGTTCGTAGAATTTGGTTTTGAAAATCGGTCATATAGGTCCACATTTTGATATATCCCCGTCAGATTTATGATGTTTTAGTCGCCTTTTTGAACACTGTAAATTGGCAGTTTGCGTTCCCTATATGTGGGAAACATCTTTGCAAAGAACCATGGTTAGGTTAAAGGACGCACAGTTGCCTTTCGGTAACCGCTCCACTCGGAGACCTGCTGGTCAATTGTGTTCATCCTAATGAAGAAATTGGAAGAAAGAAGGATAGTGAAAAAAGTGAATGTATTACTGATGGGATATGTAGTTATACGGGTGACCCACGGCTAGAAATCTTGCCGTGTCGTCTTTAGCCACTTAAGTCTTCTGGCTAATTGAAGAATTACTGTATGGTCTGTGTTAGAGAACGAAGACAAATCATGTGACACTTTTTCCCCTACAAACCTGTGTCTCACGTTAATGAGTGCTGGACAGTGGCAAAGCAAAAATTCGATCGTCTCATTTTCGGATTGACAGATTCTACAGTAGTCAATATCATCGCTTTTTCATTTCGAGGTCATTGCCTCACCTTGTAGTAACCTGTGAATATCCCACCACAAGTTTTGAGTCGGGCTTCGACAAGGACAGTATCGGCTTTTGCTCTTCTCCGAGAGTGTGGGCCAGAGGATTTTGGAGATGTTGCATCTCCTTTCGTCCAGCGATTTATGTTGAATTCTCTCAGAGTAGTGTCTATGAATTACCTGTAGGAAGTGGCACAGGGTTGGTATGGCCGAGTTCTCAATTTAAATGGTAGTTGATTCGGACCCTAGCCTAGCCAATTCGTCTGCAGTCTCGTTAATTGGAATATTGTAATGACCAGGAACCCAACAGAGCTTGATGGACAACCCATGCAGTCCAAAACAACCTTAGACTTAATGGTAGATGAGTTTAGGGCCTTCAGCGCCGCTTGAATATCGATGCATATAGTCACCGAACTGCTAACCTCGTTGTTCCCTGTGACCAACAGGGGTATGGCTTTCTTGACCGCGAAGATTTCCATATGGAATACGCTACTGTCGTTTCTAAGCTTGTAGGATTCGCGAACGTTAAGAGTGTCACAGAAGACACCAGGGCCTCATTTCTTGTTCTATCAAAATGTGAAATGAAAACTTTTATAAAGGAAAGAAATGTCAAATGAAAAAATTTATAAAGGAAATTGTTTTCATTTCATATTTTCATAGAACAAGAATCCAGCCCCAGCTCTCGTTCCCGTTCCGCATTCCATCTTTGAACCATCGGTATAGACAGCTATGCTGCAGAAAGGTGGATTGTTACGAGACCAGGTGTTCCTATGGAGTTCTTGCAGAAGTAGAGTGCAATCAAACCTCTCTTTGCTCGCTCCTCGGTGTTCCTCTTCCAGCTTAGTTGGCGATCGAGAATAGTGCCGAGGTATTTAGCTTCAGAGGAAAGGTTTAGCGTGACCCCATCTGGCATCGGTGGTATAAATGAATGGCATTTAAGTTTCTTCGTAAAGAGGACGAGCTCTGCCTTTGATGGGTTCACACCTAGTCCATTGCGGCGTGCCCACCTTAATAAGGTAACTAGATCTCCCTGCATCAGATCAGAGATTGTTTGTAGGAATTCCTTAGCAATCAATAGGACAACATCATCAGCATAAGCGACTACCTTTGTCCCGTTTTGCCCCAGATCTATGAGCATGTTGTTGATAACCAAAAGCCAGAGCAATGGTAATAGAACGCCCCTAGTGACGATTTCCTGACAGATATTTCCCCAATGGTTGAGTTGATAATTCTGCTACTAAGCATTGTATTAATCCAATTTATGAGGAGTTGGGGTACTCAATGAACCCTATAACATCGTGTTGCGCCTCTTCAACAGATTTACCTGACACAGATTTACGTGCTGATGACTGTCATGGGAAGTAGAGATCTGATTTCTATGTCTATCAGCCTGAGAGACTGATTGGTCTCTAGACCTTAGGAAGGGAGTGACTTGGTTCCCCAGCTTTTATTGTATGATGGTAGAAGAATGGTAAAAACAAGTGTTTTTGTACTACAAACCTAACATACAAATTTGTTTTTGTACGGATCAAATTTTTTCTCTCAAAGATTTTCATTTTTGGAATTTGGATTATCAAATTTAAAATGATGAAAATAAAAATGATAGTTCTTAAAATATCTCATTTTAAACTATCATCTTCCCCTGAATGTACAGTTGCTAGCTGTATATTCAAAGCTATCAACACATCAAACAATCGCTAGAACAGCGTGGAAAAAACAACATCCCTCTCAAATTGAAACCAAACTGCATATACAAATAAAGTATTCTACATTTTACAATTTTAGGAAACTTTTGGAAACATGAAACATACGACTTTATTACTTAATGTCATGTCGATGTTCCTTAACCTCGTAAAAAGTTTCTGCATTATCACCATTGGGGGTTTGTTAATATAACAGGGATTTCTCTATTTCTAGGTAAAAATACATTCACACTGTCATGCAGTGAAATTTTGTATCAAAAAAGTGAAAAGAAATGGAATTGAGTCACAAAACGTCATGTAGAATTTGACACTAATATTGCTGCTACCTGTAATAATTATACCGTGGGTTGTTTGATTATTCTCACTTTAGAGAAAAACTGAAACATTGGCAACCCAGCAATGCAAAAACAAAGGGTGTGGCAACTCTAAATGATTGACATTTTAAACCGCACACAAACGAAGTTGTCAGCACTGATAATGTTTATAAATTTGAAATTTTAATTTGAAGAATTGTGGTGTCAATTTATTATTTACTTGATTGAACTTTAAATGCTGCCTGTTTTAAATATTTAAAAGTGTGTAGAAGGCAAAATGTCTAACGCCAGTGATAATTGTGCTGTAAAAATAGCTGTGAGGGAAAGGCCTGTTCGGCAATCCTTAATAAACAGCAAGGAGTCCAGCGTCATTGGATACCACCCAAATCCAAACGTACGTAAAAAGTATATGAAAAAAGAGTGGTATAATAATAGATTCCTTTGTAGATTTTAATCGTTGAAGAGAGGCCCTTTACTTTCGACTATGTTTTGAGTCCTGAAGTAACCCAGGCGCAAGTGTTTGAAGATTTAATAAAGCCCCTGGTGAAAAAATTGAAGCTGGGCTTCAACTGTACTGCGTTGGCATATGGGCAAACAGGTACAGGGAAATCGTATACGATGGGATTAGATTCGACGGTAAGTACAAAATAAAATATTAAATAAATGCTGGAATATTTCTAATGGAGTCTCACTATGACATTTCAGAATATTGAGGGCGAACATATCGGTGTTGTACCTCGCGTTTTAAAGGAAATATTTTCTGCCGAGACTCAAGATAAAGATAACACTGAGAACGAACCCGTGTTCAAAAGAGAAATATCAGCCTCGTTTATTGAGATTTACAATGAAAAGGTCTATGATTTATTGGCGGAAAATTCTAGCGAGCCAATTATTGCAAAAGGTAAGAAGTGAAATAAAATTATTTTTCTTATTTGTCAATCAATATTAAGGATTTTGGTTTAGCTGACACGCTGTGTTTGCAGCCATTTACGTGCTCGCTACCTTGGTTCTATACTTGCTACCATATTGCTTTTAGGCACATAGAAAAACATTTCATTCATGCAAAATGAGGAACAACTTTTACAAAATTTTCATAAGAAATAGTCTTAAAGAAAATATCTCTTTATTTTTTAATGCTCTGTGTTTATTATTAACCGTGAATATAAATTAAAATTCCAAAACAAATATTTCTACCGCATTCATATTAAGTAATTACTAAAATACATTCTTAAGACATATATTTATAATAAGAAATAATATATTTTACAATTAATGTAGGTTTCAGGTACACTGGCGGGTCCCGCAAACCTTTAACCGACATAAATGAGTGTCACGCCATACTCACACAAGGTAGTAAAAATCGTCATGTTAGACCTACAAAAATGAATTCTCAAAGTTCCCGTTCTCATGCCATTTTTACTATACATCTACGTTGCATTTTGAGGAACACGAATGGCGAAGAGTCCATTATATCGTCTTGTATGAATCTTGTTGATCTAGCTGGATCTGAAGGCGTGAGACGAACCGGTCACCAGGGTGTAGCCATGTCAGAGGGTGTCAACATAAACCAGGGCTTACTATCCATAGGAAAAGTTTTACAAGCAATGACAATGGGAAGTAAGGTTATACCATACCGTGATAGTGTTCTAAGTTCCGTATTACAAGGTAAGATGATAATAAGCTTGGATATATAGTTGCTAGGACATACAATTGCATATAGGATCACTTTTATTTATTTTATTAAAACAAAAAAAAAATGTATCGTTTTCAATATGTGTGCAAAATTGTGCTTTCGAATTTTATCTATTAGCGCTCCTAAAAAATAATATAATAATTGTATTTATCGTAGATTCACTAAATTTGAACTCGTACTTAACATTGTTGGCGTGTATAAGTCCACACAGGGAGGATTTGAGCGAAACTCTCTCCACCCTAAGGTTCGCTCAAAATGCCAAGCAATTGAAAAATACTCCTCAAATCAATAGCATAATTGCAGATATAAAGGTAAGTATAGAGAATAAGCAAGTATATATGTATGTTGTATTGAGTTTGAATGAAATTAAATGAGACCCCAATCGATGGTGTCGCAAACAACGCCCTTCATTCTTGCATGGAATATATCCGATTTAGCTCCTATAAATCCGGCTTCCATAGCATCAGTTGAATGTCCCAGAGTAACTTTTTCACTAAGTATTTCCAAATCGGGCACATCTTCCCCTTTCGTCGTTAAAATAGGCAACACAATCATTGCTAGAAGTAATCCTATAGCTCCTTTGGCTTTAAATTCTTTCTGAAAAGCCTTCTTCGAAAATATATTTTCAGGTTTCGAACCCAACCTGCAACAATGTTTTTCTTAGTATATGTGATAAGAACCAACCTATTGTCTTACTACATGCCTTTTTAAATGTTCACATGCCGATTCATGGTAAATGTCTAGCATTTCGTAAAAATACTGCGCTCGAAATTCTTTGGTAGTGGACGACATTAAGAAATACATAAGGTCAATAATGGGTGAAGCATATCTCATGATTTGCCAGTCAAGCAAACGAGCATCCGCAATCCCCGCATTCTGTAAAATAATATATTTTTAATTTCGTTTGAAAACTATTTCAATGGCGTACCTCCGTTTTATACATTATATTGTTTATCCAACAATCGCCATGGCATATTACAGAGAGCGGCTCGCTGCTTCTGGGCTCCAGTAACATAAGCATTAAGTTATAAAATGATCCTCGGCTGAAGTACGCATTTAGCTTTTCCCAGTAAAAGCTTTCTCGCTCTCTATCGAAGCAATCCAGAGCCGTCTTCTTAAGACTTTCAAAATAATCATTTAATTGGGGGTCGTCCTTTCGTTGTTCAAAAATGTCAACTATACATTTAAGATCCTGAATCTTTTCGGGCGATTGATCCTTTATGGCAAGTGATGTTGCGTGCAATTTGCCATAAATACGCATTGTTAGTGCTACATGCTCACGAGTCAAGGGTTTAAAACGGTCATGCATGTAGAAACCTTCTTCTTGTATGTCGCTCATACAGATTGCTTCGTGAAATTCTTCACGTAAGCTGAAGTAAAAACGAGGATATTCAATAAACATTTCATTGGGTTTAATGCATTTAGATTTTTGAAAGTCATGAACTAGAGGAAGAAACTAATATAAAATGTAATATATATGTGGCAAGTTTCTTAGATAAATGGTACGTACAATTCGATAGGCTAGTATCTCTCTTTGAAATCCAGGACCAGCAAAAAATTGTTGACGTCTTTGAGGATTTTGCGGTGGGACCTTCATTATAAGTTTAAGGTCATTTTTATTGTCACTGATAGCATCACTATGTACTGATACCGTAATACGGTACACAACACCCATGTAGTTATCTCCCTTTTTTGTAGCCAAATCAATATTATAGTTATACTTATGTTGACCGAATGTCTCATCCAAAAATGTTTTTAGTGCTGCAAGAGCACCTGATGATATTTCAGTGTCCTTTATTTCTAAATCCGACATATTTCTACAAAAGTACCAAAAATGCTTTACTTAATCGTTTTAGAAAAATGCAAAAATCAAACAAACCCCTTACAAAATAAAACCACTGCAAAATAATATTGCCAATAGAGCTACACCCCTAAAGAGGACATACTCGGCCATAAACGGAATGCCTGTAAAGTCAGTCATTAAAAGTAATACCTTTTGCACGCCAAAGAAGCAGCGTGCTGAGGTGAATAGATGCAATCAAACAGAAATTACAAGCAGCAAAAGGTAAGCACGTGAGATGAATTTTTGTGGACTATACTTACATATACATTAAATAACTTCAGGCCAAAATTGTCAAATGTTGCCATGAATCTGCCCAACATGGCACAGCTGGAATCTACTCACAATCGAGAATCTCTCTTCAATCGCAGTTCAGATTCTAATGGATCGCTTTTAAGCTTAAACATATCTTCTTCCACAGCCGTTGATGGACTAGTTAACAACAACCACAACAAAGGAAATACGAAGTAGGAACAATTCGATATGTCGAAGTTAAAAACTGTCTGTAATTATGTATTTTAGTTTCAGTCCGGTTATTCGCAAATATATGACAGAGTTAGAATCCGGTTTGGAGAAAAAATTCATTGACATCCTACAACGCAATTTACATGTCCTAATGCCACCACAAACTCCGGCTGCCGCCACGATGGCTCCACACCAAACACCATTGACGCAGAGCATGCGCCAGGAAATTAAAAGCATAATGAAGGAAGTTCTTCAGGACAGTCCAATAAAAGCAAATGCCAAATGTCAGCTGGTAAGATATGTTATGTCCTTATCTTAGCTTTATTTAATATCTGGAGTTTGTCAATTTTGCAATTTAGTTCAATACGAGTGAAGATATGTTCAAAGTTCCTGAAGTACCACAAGGTGTATTGCATCCACCCAAAACCTCTAGCCCTAACATGAAAAGTGATGAAAGAGTCTCTTTCACGGAGACATTTTTCGCCGGTGTCAACACATCCGATAAAAAAGATTTGAATAAATCTATAAGACGCTCGAGACGTATTTCTGAACGCTTTGGCATTGCGCATTCTGTTATTGAAAATGAATTCCAGATTCCAAGTGAACCAATAAACGAAAGCAGCAACAACACTTCATACCTACGCAGAAGCTCGCGTCGTTCTGTTCTTCAAAGGTATGCGGAAAAACGGAATAATGGACGCCTGACAACACATAAAGAGCTCGATGAAATACCCGCCAAATCAGAAACATCAACAAAAACTCCGAATAACAAGAAAGCCAATAAGAGGCTAAAAGACAATAATAACAGTTTAATATCACAGATTTGCAACAGTTCCTCGACATCGACCAACGCCAAGTCAAGACTGAGTAAACACAGGAAAGGAGTTTTGGAACTACTCAACAAAGGTTCACTTAAAGAAATACAGATCTTACCAATGATCGGTCAAAAGAAAGCTTTTCAAATAATAACACAAAGGTGCGTAAATAGCGATACTTGTAATCGATGTTGTTATCTCGTCTTTAACCAAATTACTACTGTTTTCCACTGGTTGAATTGAGACCACAATAACTATTGCCAGTTATCTAAAAAACCTCTAAACGATATTCTATTTCAGTTGCAAGTCATTTGTTGTGGTTTTCTTTTTTGAGACCGCTTTGATTTTACTTTTTGCTATTTAAAACTTAAATGAACAGTATATTCGACAATTGAAAACACATTTAATAGCAAATGCAAAAATCTGATTGTTTCTTTGTTTTTAATCCGAAATACGAATTCTGGCGATATCATTATGACATAAGACGTGTTTGCTCCTGACAGTGATTTGCGACTCGTTACAAGTCGACATAAAACAGTATTATTAATTTATTCAAAGAAAATATAGAATATTTTTGCATGATTTTTTGGATCTACATATGCATAGCAATATAATGAGGTCTAATTATTTTCTTACTCATAGAACTCTTCACGGCAAATTCAAAACGTGGCATCAAGTCGAGAAACTCCCGGTATGGCGTGGCAATGAATGGCAGCGATTTTCAGAGGTATTCTTCTAGACGTTTTCAAAAGAATCTAAATAACATTAATTCTCTTTTTAGGCAAATTGTTTGGTGTGATTCTTAATAAAATTGAAAAGGCAATAAATATTTCCATTACATTTAATTTCTTTTTAATTCATTTGCTATATTTGCTATAGTGTGATATGTTAAGGTTTATAAAATTACTATAATTAAGAAATATTGTCTATATTAAAATCGTTTTGATTCATTTGTTAAAACATAATTTTTTCGACATAATTTAAATGTTAACTATCAATTTTATCAAATTCAAAATGTAGTGTAGTAAACAATTGCGTCAGAAATAATAAACGTAACTTACATATCAGCATTGGAAAAATTTCTTGAATTTCCTTTGCACATACCTATGAAAACTTATTGCTTTTTAAGTAAAAATGGAGGAAGAAACGTACTTTTAAACACACTGACGAATACCTCTTGTATGAACTGTATAGTAAGAATGTGTGAACCAATTCAAAACAAGCAAGACATTATCTCTTCAATTCATATTCATAACATGGTTGAATTTTATGGCAGTAGATAGTTGTTGTTGGAGAATACAACGAATATTGGGAACAAAACAAAAAATCAAAAACAATAACAAATATAAAAAACATACCAGAATAATAAAATATTTGTTGTGTGTATATATCACTCACACTACTTTGAAAAAAAAAACATACGATCGACCGGCTTTTTCCACAATACAACAACACTGTGTTAAATCATCGCCAAGCTATTTGCATTGTTAAATGGATTGCATGTATTTGGTGGAGTGCTGAAGAAAGATGTGTGTAACCACGCCATGTGGTAGTGTTGGTTAGCTATACCTGCCGCCAATTCAACGGTCGCGTATTAATTGATCTTCAAAAGCAAATCAAGCTCAGTTCAACATTGACTGTTTGACTGTGGTCTGTGGCTGGTGAAGTACATTTTTAACGGTGAAACCAATTTACTTTTAAAAGTTAGTGAAACGGAACTGGATATTTAAAACTGAAGAGTTAAAGAAATACTTAACCGGCGGAAAAAAGTCATCATGCCTATGCAACCTATTAAATTTTATTATGATGTTCTGAACCAATCTAGTCGTGCTTTATATATATTATTGGAAGCCTCGAAAATTCCCTTCGAACCTGTGCAAATTTCGCTTTTAAAAGGTATGTGATACGTAATATACATGTTCTTTGGTTTTTTTAAATCTATACTTTGCAAAATACAAAGAAATTTACAGCAAATATTTTGTCTAAACAACAACAAACTTCTTATTTTATAAAAATGTATTTACTTGTAGACGGTTGTGATTAAGAATTTTTACGGTTCTAAAACATTGATGTTTCTAACATTTCTAAAAATCTTACTTTGAGTGCAAACATTCGATTGAACAAAATTTGATATAAATAATTTTTCAAATTATTTGGTTTTAGTAGAAAATACCAGAGACATTGGGGTCTCGCAATGTTGTTAGGAAAGTATATATATTTGTGAAACGTCGTACACATATAACGAATTCGATAGTCGATTTCATTTGACGTATAGGCAATGGAATTGACAGTTGAAATCCACTCCACTAACCCGAAAATACATAATCAATTATTGCTTAGGAAAATTAGTATTATTTATTAGCCGTTAAATTATATCAAAATGATCCATCAATTCTCACAGTTTCCCCCAACTTTTTGGTTTTGTTCAATCTTAAGGAATGTTTTAAAACAACTCGGAAAAGACATAGTCATTTATTGCTGAGGAAAAAAATGAGTGTTATTTATTAACTGTTAAATTGTAGCAGAAAGGTTTGTCACTCTATTTTTTGTTTTTTTTTTTCTTTTGTTTTCATACCCTCCACCATAGTATAGAGGGTATATTAAGTTTGTCATTCCGTTTGTAACACCTCGAAATATACATTTTAGACCCCACAAAGTACATATATCCTTGATCAGTATAAAATTCTATGTCGATTTAGCGATGTCCGTCCGTCTATCCGTCTGTGGAAATTACTTTAGCTTCCGAACAAAATGAAGTAGATTGATAAAATTTTACTTTTGGTATTGAAAATGGGCCATGTAGGTCCACGTTTTGGAATAGCCCCCATATAACGGTACCTCGCGATATTTGGTATTTTGATGATTTTAGCGACATTATTCACCTCACCGGAATTGTTTCAAATTTGGTATTTGAAGTTCGTAATGAAAAAGCCTAAGACAAAAATTGTCTGTGCAGGTCCACGTCTTCGTATAGCCGCCATATAACGGTACCTCCCGATATTCGGTATTTTGATGATTTAAGCTACATTATTCACCGATTTTTTTTTTAAGTTTCGCATTAGAATATTGTAATTTCTTTTGACAAAAGTTACCTATGCAGGTCCATGTCGTCGTATAGACCCTAATATAACAGCTTCATTCTATGTTTTTAAGATTTTAACAGAATTTTTAACGAAGTTTATTGTTTTTTAGAATTGTCAAATTCGTTCTAAATGGTGGAGGGTATTCAAAGTTCGCCTGGCCGAACTTACAGCTTTTTTACTTGTTTTCATTATTTTTAACTCCAACTCTTTTTAATACGTATTCACTCGAAGAAGAGTAAGCAAAAGCATTTTACAAACTACGATTATAATTGCCATGTAGATTTAAGATTTTTAATAGTTATTCGTCTCCGTACTTTTAATGTTTCGCTCTTTTGCGAAGATTTTCACAAAAATTAAGGGAGCGCAGCAAATGTTTGTTACAGCCTACAAGCGAAACTGAGGCTTTCTCTTTTCTAGTTTGATTAGGCCCTTGAAGCAATTATTTTTTTGAAGTATTGTGTTATATCCCAAATCTGAAGTGTGATCCTGTAACTCATTTTTTGAATTACCGACAAAAATCGGTAACTTTAAAATCCAAAAATTTGATTTGAGGTTAAAGTTGAAAACATTGGTATCTAACGGTAGGTCTTAGCGACTACTTTGATTTCGTCGCTAATTTATGGAAAAAATTCATTAATTATAAAAAAAATTCGTTAAAATATAATCGGTTATAGAATTCCACTACTAATTTGACATATGCATTGGATTTGAACATTGAATGTAAATGAATTTACAAAGGAATTTATGACGATATAGATATTTTAATATACTTACAAAAAAAACTTTTCTGATATTTGCTCTGTTCCGGAAACTACAAGAAGCTACTTGTATTGAAATTGTTTGTGATACCATTAAAGTAAAATCGGCTATCGTAGTAAAAATTTTCACATTCTTGCAGTTCTAAAACAAACCAATGTATTGAATAATGTTATAAATAAGACACTACAAAAAGATGATAATGCGTAAGAAAATGACAGCTGTTTTTAAATGTCTTTATGTTCGAAAAGAATTAAGAGCAGCCCAAGAAGAATGCTTCATTTTTTTAACAACGGTTTCCTAGCTTGCTTTATCAATTTCCATAAAACAGATACGACCTAGTTTTGGCACTTGTTTCATGAATCGTACAATATTTGATAATTTATGTATTTAGTTGTCGATTTAAAGTCGCTTAAACTTATACATTTTATTGTAATAAAAACTTTTAGCACTACACTGCTAATTTATGGATGTGTGATATATTAAGACACGCGTATTTTCAAATGGTAAACAAGTCCATTATTTATTTAATGCAAATTGCAATTATCAAAGTGTAAAAATTAGTTCAAAAATAGATTCGATTGAAAATTCACAAATGATTGTGAAAAACGAAGCTTTTTTCTTCAACAACATACAACACAGTTAATATTATAGAAATTTAATTAGGAAAAAAATCTGTTCTTCAACATTTTTAACGTAAAATATATTGAACATTGGTATTAACAATGCGTCGCCAGCTCTTCAAATGCACTTTGTCCCTAGTCCCCGTTCTGTTGCAACGGGTACAACTGATCGTCTTGTTTACTTTTTACAGTCCAAACTTGTTTTTACTGCATATTTTATTTTTCTTTCTTGTTTATTTATTATTATTATTTTTTATTCCTATTTTTATCTTGTTTATGGTATTTCGAAATTCAACACACACCCCTTTGAATTTGCGTAGGCAACAACAATATAAATATAGCTTGCTGATCGAACTCTGTTTACATGTGAAACCGGCTTATCTTAAATACATACATACTTTCCACATATCAAAGACAAAGCAAGCAAACACACAAATAAAGACGAAGATAAAATCATATTTAATTTATACAGTTTCTAATGTCCTGTCAATCATCCTGTAGAACCAACTGAGAGTGAACTATATAATGCAGTTATAGTTAAAAAGAAATGTCGATTACGAACAATTTGGCCCAATTAAATAAGTTTCAATATAAAAGGGTAAATAAAGGATATATCTGGTCTAAGTCAAACACAAATATCTACAACCACTAGGTATCAATTTGTTTTCAAAGCAAGCATATTTTGGTTTTATAAATGCAAATCACTAGCTATTATAAATGCATACACATATCGTAGTAAATGTAACTGACATGTTTAATATGACTGCATTTACCTTTTGCACATTTTATCACAAATCCAAACGTATTAGATAGAAATACCACGATATTATCTCCAACACAGTAACAAAGTCATACTTATGAAAAATGTAAATGTTTAAAAAAAAAAAAAAAATAAGCAGAATGTAAATGTTGGCGCCTGTAGTAATGTGTGTTCACGTTCACCTTCAAGGCGTATATTGACATTAATGTTCAAAAGCAAAAAGTTCTTTGAACTTGCATAAATCAAATGTGTTTGCAACCAAATAACCGAATAGAAACTATGATTTCACTTACAGTTGCATGATTGTATGTATGTAAAGTGCGTTGATATTATGTACATTAGAGGGTAACGGTTCCCTCCTAGCCAAACAGAATTAATTGATCAAACAAACGTACATATATTTTTGATAGCTTCTTATTTGCAAAAGCTAGCAGACATCTCACAATGTAAATTCGGTACGAAAGTGATTCTAATTTCGTATTTAGCTTCTTCAGAAAATGAAAATCGCAACATTTTTTGGATTTGAAACCACTTTTGTTTTCGCAAGTAAAATTGTATTTTTATGAAAACTTGTAACTTTAAACCAGTCTCAAAATACTTTTAAGTAATAACAAGTAAAAAAGCTGTAAGTTCGGCCGGGCCGAACTTTTAATACCCTCCACCATTTGGTAAAAATTTGGCAATTTCCAAAAAAAAAAAAATAAAAATAAATAATAATAATTAAATCCGTTAAGAATTCTGTAAAACCTTAAAAATACCGAATGCTTATACGACGACGTGGACCAGCATAGGCAACTTTTTTCATAAGTTATTACAATATTTACATGCGAAACTTGAAGAAAAATCTGTTTATAATGTAGCTAAAATCATCAAAATTCCGAATATGGGGGGTACCGTTATATGGGGCTACACGAAGACGTAGACCTGCACAGATAATTTTCTGTCTTACGCTATAGTATCCCTTAAGAACTTCAAATGCCAAATTTGAAACAATTCCGGTGAATAATGTCGCTAAAATCATCAAAATACCGAATATCGGGAGGTACCATTATATGGGGGCTATATGATAACTTGGACCTACATGGCCCATTTACGAACTTAACCTGCCTACTGGCAAAATATACATGTGTGCAAAATTTTAACCTTCTATCTCAATTTGTTCGAAAGATAGCGTGATTACAACAGACAGACAGACGGACATGGCTAAATCGTCTTAGAATTTTACGCTGATCAAGAATATATATACTTTGTTGGGTCTGACATGAGTATTTCGAGGAGTTACAAACGGAATGACAAAATTAATATACCTTCCATAGTATGGTGGAGGGTATAAAAATGTTGTCTTAATGACAAATACACATTTTTAATATTTTTATTCAAAATAATTAGCAAATTTTAATGGTTTCTCAATTGACGAAGGCAATTGTTAACAAAGTGTTGCCACACCACTTTTTTCTTGAAAATCACTTTTTTCGTCAAACAAAAATTATTCATCTGCGAAAACCAAACAATGTGGAATTTTGAATAATAAACTGAAGCAAAGATAAAAAACAAAACAAAAAGAACACACAAAATATGTGAAATATGTATTGTGAAATCCTTTTTAATCAATTAATCATTAATTAATATTTTAGGGGCAGGCACAGGAATTTGGTCCGAAGCATCTCTTAAACT